TTACTTAAAATTTTTCTATATTTCAAAATTTATTAAATAAAAAATTCTAATACAAATCATTAAATTATACAAATTTGATATTATTAACTGGATATTAAATATATATAAGTTATTTTTTTAAGAATTGAGCTTTAAAATAAATATAAAATTATGGTTTTAATCTTTATATTTAACCTGTTATAAACTTTTAAAGATAACCAATAGTGGTTGCTTTTCTTTTGCTTGCTACTGTAAAAGAAGTTATCATTTTTTTATTTTTTAAATAAAATTTGTTTTATTTTTATTATTATTTTATAAAAATAGCTTTTCAATTTTTCTTTTAGTTCTTACTTTCATTATCAACTTTTGTCATTTCTCTTACCTTTTCTTTATTAATTTCTTCTGCTGTTCCTGCTTCTTTTTTATCAATCTATATATTTACTTATATTAAAAAACTAAATAAATATAAGATAATTATAGATAAAATATATTTTAATAAATTTTATAATTTTTAATTTATTGGAAATTTTGATATTGATCAATATATAAAATTTTTTATTATTAAAAAATTTATTTTATATTCTAGATAGAATAACTTTGAAATTTAATTTTTTTTCTTAACATTAGAATTTATATTTAAATAAAATAATTTATAGCAAAATAATATTTATTAATCTTATTATTTTTTAATATATATATATATATATATAAAATTGCACTATAAGATTATTATACAAAAAAAAATATAAAATAAAAAAACAAAATTTAGTAAACTATAAATATTTGATAATGATTTTCTTAGAGAAACTTTGTAGTGACTTATAATGACTTGTAGTAATAATCTATAAAAATGATAAAATGTGTGACAAGAGTTAATCATAGTATGTGCATATAAAAAAGTATGAAAAATTGGTATCTAAATTTTACGATGATATTGTCCTTAACCTTAAAACATGTATAGGGCAAGATACCTCCTATGACTAACTACTCAATACGAATATTGACTGTGAGTTGTATCATTAAAACCATCAAAAGACAGCGCATTCTCACCTTAAAAAAAATAATATCCTCAAGAATAATAACTACAAGATATATAAGAAGCATTAAAAATACACTAAAAAAAATATACCATCAACTTTGAAGCCCAAAGTGGCTGCAAATAAGGCTAATATTTTCATGTCGAATTCCAGCCATTACTTAAGAAAATAAAGGAAAAAATAAGAAAATAAATAAAAATAAAAAATAAAATTAACAAAAATCAAAGATCTTAATATATACCATTTTGGACAACAACTTTGCAGGTTAAAAGAAATTTATACAAAAAGTATGAAAAATTGTATCTAAATTTTACGACGATATTATCCTTAACCCTTAAAGTATGTATAGGGCAATATACCTCCTATGACTAACTATCTGATACGAATATTGACTGTGAGTTGTATCATTAAACTGTCAAAAGATAGCGCATTCTCACCTTAAAAAAATAATATTTTCAAGAATAATAATACAAGATATATAAAAAGCATTAAAAATACACTAAAAAAAAATATACCATCAACTTTGAAGCCCAAAGTGACTGCAAATAAGGCTAATACCTCCATGTCGAACTCCAGCCGCTACTTAAGAAAATAAAGGAAAAAAAGGGATAAATAAAAATAAAAATTAAGATTAATAAAAATCAAATATCTTAATATATATATCGCTTTGGACAACAACTTTGCATGTTAAAAGAAATTCGTATGTGTCTAATAAAATGATAAAAGTGTTGACAAGAGTTAGTCATAGTATGAGCATATACAAAAAATATGAAAAATTAGTATCTAAATTTTACGATGATATTGTCCTTAACCCTTAAAGCATGCATAAGGCAAGATACCTCCTATGACTAACTACTTGATATGAATATTAACTGTGAGTTATATTATTAAAACCATCAAAAGACAGCACATTCTCACCTAAAAAAAATAATATCCTCAAGAATAATAACACAAGATATATAAGAAGTATTAAAAATACACTAAAAAAAATATACCATCAACTTTGAAGCCCAAAGTGGCTGCAAATAAGACTAATACCTCCATGTTGAACTTCAGCCACTACTTAAGAAAATAAATAAAAATAAAAAATAAAATTAACAAAAATCAAAGAACTTAATTATATACCATTTTGGACAGCAACTTTGCAGGTTAAAAGAAATTCATATGTGTTTAATAAAATGATAAAAGTGTTGGCAAGAGTTAGTCATGATATGAGCATATACAAAAAGTATGAAAAATTAGTATCTAAATTTTACGACGATATTGTCCTTAACCCTTAAAGCATGCATAAGGCAAGATACCTCCTATGACTAACTACTCGATACGAATATTGACTGTGAGTTGTATTATTAAAACCATTAAAAGACAGCACATTCTCACCTTAAAAATAATATCCTCAAGAATAATAACTGTAAGATTCTGTATATTATAAGAAGCATTAAAAATACACTAAAAAAAAACAAAATACCACGTCTATATAAGAAAATATAGAAAAGAAGAATTAGGGAATAAAATAAAAATAAAAAATAAAATTAACAAAAATCAAATACCTTACTATATACCGTTTTGGACAATAACTTTGCGGGTTAAAAGTAAAAATTCGTATGTGTCTAATAAAATAAAGATTATTTTGATTTTTTATTCTTGTCTGTCATTTGTCGTAGGAAAAAGATAATCTTTCGCGTATAAATATAAATATAACTCCCCTAGAAATAGCACCAGAAAAAGCTTGAGCATGTGATTTTGTGGCTTAGCTATCACATATGTTTTTATATAACTTAATTAACAATTATCACTAACTTTAATACTCCAATATGAACTAACCCTAACCTAATGTTATGAAACTTGACCGTAAATGCTGCGCAGCCATTCATTGGCTGCATAGCCTGCGGCCAGATTACCTAACCAATTGGCCCTTTTCAAACCATTTAACACAACTAATTTAACCAACATTAACCCATACCTAATGCTACGAAACTTGATCGTAAATGTTGCAAAGTCGTTGGCTGCGTGGCCTGCAGATAGCTTACCTATCCAACTGGCCCTTTTCGAACCATTTAACACAATTAATCTAACCAACACAATTAATTAATTAAAATATTATTGTCAATGCAAATTATAATTTTATTAATTACTTTATATTGATAATAATGAGTAAAATAAGCAATTTTTTTTTTAAAAAAGTAAATTTTTGACAATTTTAATATCACATTATTATTTTAATGTAAATAACGAGTGCTATTTGAATGTCCCTTCCATGTTAATGGCATTTTTCTCTTTCCTTGATATTTCTCAACTTCTTTAATTAATTTAATAATACCATCAAAATATTTTTTCACATTTTTACACCATTTAATATTCCCAGCTGACTTTTGTTCTTCTAAAAGTGCTAATTAAATCATCAAATAACTTATTATCTTCCTCATTATCTTTTTCAGTTGATTCATATATTATAAATAAATTGTTATCATTTGGCTCAATATTTTCCTTATCTATAAATGATGATATGTTATTATAAATTAAAAAAGGTGGTTGTATATTTCTTTTTATATGGTTAAAAAATTCAGCTGGTACAATTCCTTTTTGTTGAACCAAATGCTTACACAAACAAAACTGATTGGTTAAATAATAAGGACATCTACAAATCCAGTATTCTACATTAGTTGGATATGTATTGGATATAGGCCGTTTAGACAACTTCTTCCATTCAGATTTAAAATCCTTAATCCAATCTGGCCTTTCCCTTCCTAAAATAATCTGTTGAAGTTTTCGTTTTTGATAGACAATAACTTTTTTCATTAAAATGTATGTAACAAGATCCATTCAGGGACGAAAAAACTTGTATAAAAAGTCCCTTTTAAGAGTTTTCCAATGGTCTTCAATAAACATAGTTGTTCTCAATACTGAGATCATAGATTCACATGGCGAACATGCCTACAATAACTACTTCGATTCATTATACCATTCTGTCCACAAATATTGCCAAAGAGAAATTAATGAATTTGTATAGCAAAATGTATACATTTCCTGAACAGATGCTTCATAAATATTGGATTTGCTTAAAAAGTTCCCTTCATTTGTTGGAATCAATGGATGCTGATATAAATGTTTTTCCATTATGGTCTATACACGATCTCTAAGTTCTTTAGGACAAAAATGTGTTGCTTGTTGAATGCCATTAAAAGGAAATCTTGTTTCAATTTCTGAAAGAGGATTGAAACTAGATCTAGTAGCTTTATTGCTTGATAATCTATTAGTTATTGCTCTTTTAGCATGCCATTTACATAATTGAATCTTAGCATGTGGCCATGTAAAACGAACTGCATTAATTTGTGCAAAATCTTTATCTGACAAAAAAAATACAGGTTGCAATCCTTGATTTTGAAAAGTAGTAAGGAACATTTGTAGTATGCTTGTTCGTATTCCTTCCTTACATCTGCCATTATTCTCAAGAAATAAGTAAGACAATGGAAATCCAGTACCATTTACCTCTGCATGTAAAACATATAACTCAAATCCCATATTATTAGTATTATAAGTGGCATCCATTCCATATTCATTAATATTAATTCTTGATTCATTTAATTGTTCAAGAATGCCAGTTTCAAATGCTAATGCACGAACAGGTTTTTCTTCTTGTAAAATAATATGATAATTATTCTCCAATAGCCAAAGACACATAGAATCAAATGAATCTTCACAACGTTTGTATCGATTTTGTCCTAACTGTGACCACCAAAAGTGAATTTGATTTTGTCGAATGGTTATATCCATACCTTTATCAACAAGACGGTAATATATTTCTCTTGGAAGAAGATCGATATTGTCTTTTATAAAATCCTTCACATCTTGAGGTACAGATTTGTTAATTGGCCTTATATGCAAATTAGTGTGAACGAGTTTTACTTCAAACATCTGTTTTGTCATATCAACAGATATTTTTATAACGCCACCACAATAAAACCTTTTCATAGATGGTACATCTCATTGCTTCGATGGATCCAGATGTTTGCGTGGTTTGTTTGTCATGATATCCCTTTGAGAACAGTAATAGAAATATGTGGTTGTACCTTTGTTTTCATATAGCTTTTTATAATTCCAGTTGTATCCATCGGCATCTTCAATTAATTCAACAATATTATTTGCGATTTCTTTGTTTGAAAGTTCCTTAATTGAATTTTCGTAATTAGTGCTTATTCGGCAATGCAAATGTAATTCTTGATTATTTTGTGATATATCTTCTAAAAGATTCATAACAACTTCAGTCAAATAATCAATATCTATAATTTCTAAATCATCAGGTTGGCTGTTATTTATTTCCGCACAACTTTTTCGTTTTTGGGCAAATCTTTGACGACAAGTATTACACGTTTTAAGCTGTTTAGAAACACCATTAGTTCCGTACCCAATAAATTCAGATAATATTTTAAAAGTTTTACAGCCGTTGCAATAAGTATCCGCTTCCATTTACAAAAAATAAAACAGGATCACGATATTTTAGAGTTTTTTTTTGTAAAAACAAAATAAAAGAAAGCTTGTAGAAAAAGAATTTTTTTAAAAAAAAAACAAAAATTTTTTTTTGCTTATTAATAAAAAACTTTTTTATTGATATCAATAAATATTATTTATATAGTTAAAATCAATATGCAAAAAGTAAAAAATCACGATAAAATCATCTACGTCACCTATTTAACTAAATCACGTGAAATAAAATCACATGCCCGAGCTTTTTCTGGTGCTGTTACTGGGGAAAATTATAAATATGGCAAAATCATGTGATCATATAATTACGAAATTTTATTCGATAATTTTCTACCAATTATAGAATATGCACAACCTAGAAAAATCAGAAGGTGCAAATGCAACAATCACCAAAAGAATACCACTGGGAGTTCCTAGTAAGTTTTTATTCGTTTCCGTAAAATTCTATGCGAAGAGTACAATCAACATAACACCACATAAAAAAAAACTATTCGAATGAAGCAATATTAACGATAAGCGATTCCTTTTACTATGATCCGTGGTATCACGTAAATTTCACGAAGTAAAGCATTTAAAAGAGAACATTACTAAACTGCTAATTTATTGGCTATAAATTTATTAAAGAATATAATCAACTAAATGAATTAAATTCACCGTAAATTTATAAAAAAAAAAAATTAATATATTTCTTAAAAAAAGAGGCTTGTAAATTTAAAATTAATTATACTATAGTATATGCACAGCCTAAAACATCGCTTTCTGAATTTCCAACACCAACTGCCATAATATAAATACTGGAACATCCACAGA